ATTTTATCATTTGAAAATATTAAAAACATTTATAAAGAAAGTAAAAGTCGTGTTTGCAAAACACTATTTCCATTTAAAAATCGTATTTCACAAAAATGACTTGCCTATTGTTGGAATTAATTTGAGAATATTTATAAATAATAATAAATAAAAAAAAGATTACCCCTCTTGAGTGAAAAAAGCCTCTTCTATGAATGGTCAACGAAATCAATGAATTACGTATGAGTTGGGACACTCCCTGCACCTTCTTGTTACATTAGTTTTGCTAAAATGATTGATTTCAATTTATCATTTTTGCGAGCATTCCTATGTTTTTTTAAAAATATTTTTATTTATATAAAAATAATATTTATATGAACAACAAATTTTACAATCAATATAAAAAAATAAAAGAGAGAAAATTTAAAATGTAATAAATGATATAATAAAAAAATATATATATATATATCACATTAAGAAAACACTATTAACAAACATGTATTTGAGTCATAATATGTTTGAAGTAAAGTAATAATTCTATTTAATAATTCCATGACTAAGAAGGGATAGAATCCGATACTTTATTAAAATATATAATTATTCAACAATTATTCGTGTTAAAAACTTTTAATTGATGTAATTGACTTCAATAATTTTTTTTAAAACAATTAAAAACCAAACAAATTAAGTTGAACCGGGAGTAAGTATGACAATCTAACCTGCCTCGTAGCAGGTACCCGCCCGAACCTGTCCCAATTTGGACGGGAAAAACCTGTATTTATCGGGTTCAAGTTTTCTCCGATTGATACAATTAGAATGTTTTGCTTGTCACCAGACAGGACATTACTCTCGAGATTGCCCTAACAAAGCTAATCTTTTCACAAGAGAAGCAGAATTGATAAAAAATTGTAGGATGAACCTCATTCCTATAGATGAAACTGTATCAACTGATTCAGAAATATATTCTGTAGTCAGTTGGTCCGATTACACTTCTGAGGAAGAAGATGTAATAAAAGATTATAAAATTATAAATGATTTCACTAAAAATGAATACAATCATTTATATCCTGGAATAAATGATAAGTACAGTCACTATGGTGAAATTATAGATGATCTAGGATATAATCTGATGAATATATCGGATGACTACATAATCTGCGATCATGAAATCCAATTTTTTGCAGGTCCAGAACATGTTGAATGTCAATTATGTAAAAGATTTTTACACATAACATTAAGGGCTCATTGCCCTATATGTTACAAAAAAATTTGTAAAATATGTTTTGAAAGATTTTACAAAAAAAGATTTCCCAAATCATCAACAAAACAATAATAAAACTGATCTAAAAAATGATCTTCTAAATAAACGAATATCTGTTTTAGAAACTCGACTAAATCAGATCGAAAAAACAGTTGATTTTCTTTATGAAAATTTTGAAAATCAGAATAAAGTTATTAATGTTGAAGAAGGATCTTCAAGTGGACTAATGGCTTTACAAAACAAAGATTGCATACCAATAATTTGCAATAAAAATCCTAATACAAGTTTACATATTTTGGTAAAAATAACTTTTCCAAAAATTGATAAACATGAAAAAACAGAAATAGTAGTGCAAGCTCTAGTTGACACTGGAGCAACATTTACCTGTTTCTGTAAAAGTATTGTTCCTAATCACAATATTTTTACCAGTAAAAAGATAACGAAAACTAGAACAATGACTGGTGATCTTATCATTAATAATCATGAAACAAAAAATTTCACAATTCAACTTTCTACAAATTGTGATATTTTTGGACAAAAAATCTTTATGCCTAAAGCAGACATTGTGAATTTAATTCCTGCAGGCGAAAAAATGGTACTAGGCTTAGACTTCATAATTTCTGAAAGAAGGTCAGTCACCATCACAAAAGATTATTTGATTATTTCAAACAATGCACAAATGTCACCCATAGTTGACGAATTAGCATCAGAGTTGCGAACTAAGCATGGTGATATCCCCCTAATAAAAACCTCTTCCAATTGTCCTTGCGAGATTACTGGAAGTTGTAAAATAAAAGAAGCAGATTCAAATAAATTCCAAAATTCAGCATCTGATTCTTTAGAAGATGATAATCATAATAATGACATTCATAGTTATTATGATTTATCCCTGTTACAAATGGATATAGATTGTTATAATTGTGTTAAGATTAATAAAGTTATAACTTTTGATAATATCCAACAAATAATTGACTGCCTCAACAAAACCAGTATTATAGGAGAAGACCCTACAAAATATTGGGAAAAAGACCCGGTTATTTGCAAACTAGATATTATCTATCATGCTTTGATAATTAAAACAAAAGAAATCCCTTATGGGAATTTTGAACAAGAAGAGTGTAAGATCCATATAAAAGCACTTCTAGATTTAAAGGTAATTGAGCCTAGTACAAGTCCACATAGAAGTCCAGCTTTTATTGTTAATAAACACTCAGAATAAAAAAGAGGCAAAACTAGAATGGTTTATAACTATAAACGTCTAAATGATAATACTCATATAGATGGCTATACTATACCTTCTAAGGATGTCCTAATAAATAGAATTCAGAAAGCTAAATGGTTTTCTAAATTTGACCTAAAATCAGGTTTCCATCAAGTCAAAATGGATCCTGACTCAATAAAATGGACTGCATTTTCTTGTTCAGAAGGACTTTTTGAATGGAAGGTCATGCCCTTTGGTCTTAAAAATGCTCCCCAGATTTTCCAGAGAAAAATGGATAATATTTTTGGAGAATATAAAGATTTTACTTGTACTTACATTGATGATGTACTTGTATTTTCAAAATATGATACAGAAAACTATAACTTAGGATTCATTCCTAGAGAACAAATTATTACTCCTTTCGATTACACCTTAGGAGATAATATAAAATCAAAAGGAAAGAGATTGCCTATTGAACCCAGTTTTGACATGTCTTCTCTTTTATTAAACATAGGAAAAGTTGATCCTCAGCTTTTACCAAATTATATTGAACAGTGGACTGCTGTTGTAATAAGAAATTACAAAATCCATCATGAAAACCATGTTTCTAATGGTGAAGAAATGATTGCCAGAGCTGAAACATATCTCAGAGATATCGCTAAAGCATGCTGGGAATCTTTTAAAAAACAATATCCTGAACAAATTAAAACAATCCTAATAGACCCAGGACCTAATATCTACAACTTTTGTAGTATGATACAAAGAATCTTTACAGCCCAGTCTGTAAATGATGGAAATGTAATTAGACAAAAAATTTACCTTGGTAACTTGGAAAGACTTTCTATTAGTTACTTTGGTAAAATAAAACAATTTACCCAGGATTACTTGATGTAAGCGAAAGCGGGGATGGGACAAGAAAACCCGAACCTCACCAAAAACGTTAATGAAAACCCAAATTTTACTCCCCACGAGTATCAAAGGCGAGGTGATATAAATTTGTGGGAGCAGGGGCGAAGAACGTAAAACCCGCCCCATTACCATGCCTAACCGGGAGGGTGAAAAGATGGAATTGATAATGACATAGATTATTAAGCTATGTACATATATAAGAAACGATTCATTTTTTTTAAGTTAGGATTGAATTTTACTATACTTTTGTACGTTACTAACATTGACTATTTTACGGCAACATAAAAAAGTCATCATTAAGTTTTTTTTTTTCAGTAAGTATAATCATGACCGTATTTATTTACATCATCGAGCAGAATTTGAATTTAAATTATTTCACTTCAGTATCTTTTTCACTGTCGTTAATCTATCGTAAAATATTTAATTTTGTTTAGACATATTTATTCTTACATGTACTTTTTATATAATACCCTTTAACAAATTTTTTTTATCACATGCATCATCTATTTTATATCACTTCTTTTTTTCTTTTCTTCTAATCTTTCACGTAATTATATAAGAGTTGTAAGAATAATTGGTTTCTATCTTCTCGTTTTATTTCTAGGGGATTCGATATTTATCATGAAGAGAATAAAGGGAAAAAAAAAAAGCAGCGTAAAATCTTCCATTTCACTTTTTTTTTTTGTTACACATACACGTTTATTGGAAAATAATCTCTTTTACTTTCTCTCTTTTTTATATCTCAGGTAACTTGACATTTTATAAAATTATTTTGATATTCTCACACTCATTTTTTTCTGCCCTTGTAAATTAATCATTCGTTTAATCTGTCTCTTTTTCCTCATTCATTACTCTTTCATATCTTTTTTACTTCTCTCTTCCCTTCATATCTTTCTACGTACCCTAATTAAAGGGGTGTAATTATCAAATAGTTTTTTCTTTTTTGCTTTATTAATCTCAATAATACTCTATAGTGCTTGTTTAAAGAGAAAAACTTGTATCCGTGTGTAATGGTATCAACTCCGATGTTCTTACGCGCGTTCTTTTCAGTTATTCATTTTTCATTCTCGTTATTCTTTTAATTTTCTTTTTCCTAGAGAAAGAACAACGTACACCGGATATATACACATGATCTCCATCCGATAACGTGTTTAATTGCGTATTTAAATATGATTAATTTTATTTTATAAATGGTTAAAATACATAACCGTGACTATATACAATTAATATATTTATCTAATTAATAATGTCACTAGATTATTGAAAAGTCTAATAATTGGTTGATAAAAGAAAGAGTATGATAATATCACAGTTGATTGATAATGTGGTTATTTTTCCCCTCTAGTTCGCATCAAAGTCTTGACATGAATCATGTGTGTGAGGTAGTTATTAGCTGTAGTCCAGAAATACTTCTACTTACATGTAATTGTTAGGTTTATTTTACGAAAAGCACACAACATTCAAGCACGCTAACTAGCTCTCTAAGAGTGCATTGATCCTTCGAATAAAACAATTCCCTTCGTGGAAACTTCAGTGCTACAAATACAGATATCCGGTGATAGGATTTACTTTGCTCAAGATCACAGATAGCATCAGAATATAAATTTATCGCCTACAAAATTGCTTAATCACAACTTCGTAAGATTCTTGAATTTCTTCAAGAAAAATCAAATGTAGTAAATTGAAAGAGAAACGAAAAGTTACGTGAAATAATTAAGAACAAATGCATATGAAACAAAAAGAAAATAACGAAAATACTGGCAACTAATACATGTCTCAGAACTTAAAAGAACTGTAAAATTACTGCTTTGAACGGGTCACTCAGACAATTCCTATATTCTCTAGCGAAGGATGATCTTGTGGTGAATTGAAGTATTTGGCGTCTAATATCGTCCCTTTAACAGAGAGAAAGAGGATAATTGGGGAAGGAGATCACGGTTAATTTCCTTCTCTCTTAATTTCTTGTTTAACCTCCTAGTTGACGAGAAAATTTAAGCTTAAAAACTTTATCCTTCAGTTCACACATGCTGTTCTCCTCGCTCCATGTGATATGAAAAAATGAGTTAACTGCATAGAACTGAGGTTAATTAATTAAAATTCAGTGTAATTAAAACATATATATTAAAGCTGCATACATTAATATTATACGTTGCAAGTTATAAACATTGATTTGCAAGCTCAATCAATTTACAAGGATTTACATATATACGTACATACATAGACCTCAGTAGTACGTCTTCATCATATTTTACAATTTCTAGCTATAGCTGATTTTAATTCCCTTCTAGCTAGTTCTACAATTATCCATATATATATATATATCAAACTAGTTTCTACAACAACAAAAGAACTAGGCCAAAAAGAAGTTCATCGCTCCAAGAACATAATATGTCCCTGGAAAGTGAATTCAGCAAATCATGGTAGTTGCATTCAGTTAATACTCCTGGTAAAATTTTCATGCTTTGATAGTTCAAGAGCAATTGTCTCCCCTTCTCCAACAAAGAGTTCACTCCTACTTCCCTTTTCAGCACTTGATCATCTTTCTTGGGACGCCTAAGAAGGCCAATATAGCTATCCAAGTCATGAACGCATGAAGGGTTTTGCACGTTGAAGAAATTAAGCATTAGTTCAACTCCCACATGAGCATAACACGAGCAACTCCGCGGAAACTCGTACTTTCCTCCCAACAAAACCCTAAAATTCTCGTTGAACACAACACCCGGTAGCTTCGTGATGGGGTCGTTAACGTTGGCTATTCTCAGCACTTTCACTCCCAACTCATCACACCGGTGTTTGAATTCGGAGTTACCAACTCTTGGTCCTCCAAAGGAAAACACTGTAACTGGAACCTCACTGTTAGCATCAACACTTTTTAGGTTACTTATTTTGTTCAAACCAAGCTCGGCTAGGTCATAAGCAAGTAAAATGGCCAAAGCACTTCCCAAGCTGTGACCAGCCAAGGATATGCTAAGATTGTGGTTCTCGCCTTCGTACCTTTTCATCAACCTTGAGACCTCAGATAAAAGCTGTTCCCTGCAACTCTCGAGTCCAAACTTGGAAGAGCTCTCATCTGAAGTGTAAAGAGAGAGAAAGCCTGACTCCACCTTCACTTGAGGGCGTGGGTTGTAGGGATCAAGCATGGCTGGTGTCAAGGAACTCATAAAGTTGGAAATCCATTCCTGATTGGTAACCGTTCCGCGGAACGTTATGAGTATGTCTCTCCTTCCGAGTCTCTTCACGGCTTCATCTGAAGACACAGCCACGTACCCTATCCACCGACCAGAAGAGGAGGAGTTTGTCTTTGTTGTTGTCATGGTGGGCAGGTTGATGTCTGGAGTGGCATAGATATACTTGGTGACTTCATAGCCACACCTCGCCATTCCCACCTCTTGAAACATTCTCTTCTTCCCATACTTGCAGTTCAAGTATCTTTTGGAGTTAGGGTCCAGATCGAAGGCTTTGTATGAAGCCGTTACGAACTCGCCATAGCGAATGATCTCTTGGCGGAGAAGAGGGTGCAAGGGGTCCAAAAGATTTTCCCAGTTGTAGCACCCGTGGACCTCTCTCCAAAGCTTTGAAAGAGAGTGAGTGTGTGTTGCTCTTGTTTTCGAAACAGGAATTTTGGAAGGTAGAATTGGGTGGCTTAGGGGAGACAAGTCGGTTTTTGTGATGGGGAGTGAAACCTGGCCAAAGGGGTGGGACTTTGTTTGGTGAAAGGTTCGTGAGACTGTGATGTGGTGATGATTAGTGTTGGTTGTGTGTGTGACAGAAGCCATAGAGAAGGAAATGAGAGGAAAAAATAGGGAGAAAGAGAGAGGTTTGTTAATAATGGTGGATGAAATTAAGAGACATACAGTGTAGTTTTATATGAAGTGGAGAAGGGAATGGTGCGTGAAAGGAGACCAAAAAGGCATGTTAGGCGAGGATTTGACTGAGAACTTCAAAATATAGAGATGCTATTGTTTATGAGGTCGGTTCGACATTATGTCACGAGTTATTGGGTTTTTTTTACTTGTTTTTTTTCTTTTCCTTTCTGTTGCGGCTGGGTGAGTGGAGTGAGAAATAAGAGAGAGAATGATTTAATTAATGCTAACACGATCATGTGGACCCTATATTTTTTTCTCCCCTTGATTGAGGTTGACTTCAAATCTATATTGCCAAAAGAAACAGTTTCATTCCTCTGCCACGAGTGAACAAATAATGCATAGAAAATTCTTTGTGAGTGAACAAATGTATAGAAAATTATTTGCGTAGTAATTCAATGAAACCGATAACCGTATTGCTGCTGTGACCTTATTCTTATTTCATACTGTCCTCTGACTTTCTTCTAAACGATCAAACTGATTTTTCTCTAGAAAAATCCTTCAACTTAATTACACCTAAAAAATGGGGTGTATGGGTATAATTTAGAATTGAAAGGAAGATAGAAAAATAATATATATGTATAAATGATATCATAGAAAATATAAATAAAAAATTAAACTATTAGAAGAAAATGAGATGGAAAAAAAAAATAAATGCATGATAATGATCGATAAACTTTTTCCTAAGGGTCAAGATCCTGTTATTTGGTTTTACATGCAAGTTTAAGGACCGACTTTTTAGAGAAATCGTATGTGATGCAAAATGTCTGGTACGATTAAGTTGTGTTTGGTCTCTTTCCTGTCACGTATAAGCTCATCAAATATTTTTTGGATTCCATAAAATTTCATTTCACACGTATATCAACATATATTTAGCTTTAGGCTTCATTAATTAAGCTGCATAGTTATATACTAATCTATTCTGTTAATTCTTCAATGAATATGAACTAAAAGATTAAGACACTTTCAAGATACTGAATAGGAGTGTGGGAGCAGGAATCGAGATTTGGAGGAGAAAAAGCAAATTTGGATGTAAAATTAATCAAATTTAGGAAGATTAACTAAAATAAGAAAGGAATTTATTTTAAGATAATGAGTTGGGATTTACAGGGATAAAATCAATATAAAAACATGAAGTTACTATATAGAAAATAATGACTCTATTTAATTTATGTAGGGATAAATTTATTAATTAAAATGAATTAATTAGAGCCTTAGTATAAAAAAAATTAAGTACAGCCAATTCCGCTTTGGGTAATTAAGTTATATTTTTTTTATTAAGAATTATAGACCACAATAAAATTTTGAATTTTTTTTTTATACTAAATCCTAAGTGCTTGAAAGAATAAAAATATGTTCATAGTATTTATATTCGCCAAATAGTACACTTTATTTATTAAGGAGAAAAAGAAAAGTAATATATATATATATATATATATATATATATATAT